TTAAGAATTTTAGAGTTTTAAAGTTTTTTTATTTTAAATAAAATTTTTAAAATTATATAAATGCAACAAGTGTCACTTAATGAAACTTTTTAACGACCGTTACGGCCGAAAAATTTAAAATGATAACGTTTGTAACGTTAGGTATTTAAATTGATCGAAAAAAGTTTAAACACCCAAATAAAAAATTATAATTTAGACTTTTTTTTTAATTTTATAAAAGGTGGTGCTCTCATAGGCCTCATTAAATCCCCCACTAAACCTAGTCGGAGGGAAAAAATTACCTATGGTATCAATTACAAGAGGAAACAATGAGAAAAATATTCCGCAAGACAACAAAGAATTTAAACAAGATCACACATACTTGACACAACCCGGAACAAAGAAAGTTCCTCAACAATCCTCAACCTCCCAGATCCTCTCACTGAATAGCATGAGAATTCCCAATCTTACTCCTTGCTTGGTTAGGTTCACTCGCACTTTGGGTCGAATAGGGATCATGATACTGCTATTTCCTAAGAAGCAGAAGCACATCCGGAGGAGGCTCCTCAAAGTATAGCTCACCGATTGGCAATCCACGAGACAAATTTGCTAGCGTATCCGCCACCTCATTCAAACTACGTCGGACAAAATTAGTCTTCACCTCCCAATCACGTGATAATAGCTCAAGAGTCTCCTCCAGCAGCAGATCATTCTCAGGGCTAGTTGAATGATTATTAACCAGTCGACCACTTCTATATTATCCGACTCAAGTTCAACTCGACGAAGACCCATCTGTCATACATGAGAAAGCATGATAAAAATAGCCCATAATTCAGTCATAAAGATAAAACATATACCCAGACTTTTAGTGAATCCAAACAACCATTCTCCGTCGACATCGCAGAGAACGCCATCCGCGGTAGCATCATTATTTTGTAAACTACAAGCTCCATCTACATTCGCCCTAACCCAGCCACCCGAAGGTCTTTTCCATTGTAAGTTGTCAGAGATCATAGAGCGAGACCCACCACTCCCATCGACATTGCGGATGGCGTTACTTGCTTCAAATTCCTCTGCTAAACGACAATAGCGAGATAACAAATCCTCTTTCTCGACAAAGTGCTCATCAGACAACATATTACAACAATGCTTCCAAAGCTACCAAACAATTGTGGGAAAGAGGATATTCCAATTACAATTAACAGCAATAAGATCACCTTGTACGCGCAAATTCATCATCAACCAAGCTACAAAAGGCATGTGCATAAACCCATCCCATTTAGAGTCATGGATCAATTTTGACCAAATATTTATCGCCACTGGACAAGAACGCAAAACATGTTCAACTGATTCCTCACTCGAATTACAGAAGGCTCTAAGTTAGGAGTTTTTGACTCCTTGCAAGCCAAAGGAAAACCCGAATTCTATGGGGGACCTCTTTGCGTCATATAAATTTCCAATCACTACTTAAATCAAACTCATCACGTACCTGCAAGTAACGGTATGCTGAACAGGTAGAAAACATGCGATTATCCTCCCAACGTCACCCTGGGGCATCATTGCTAAAAGTAATATTTGGTGATCTCATAGCCATTATGTGACGAATCACATGGTATGGGACAACGCATTGAAGTTTCACCACGTCCCAATATCCTAAAGTAGTAACAAAGGAAGCAACACTAACGGGAGGCGGCAACCTCATATCAAGGTAATGAAGAGTCAAAAGACCCACATGCGCTACCCATATATTGTACCAAAAGTCAGTATGAAGCCTATTGCGCACAGTCCAGCAGACACTGTTGCAAACATCATCCCACACTTCGTCAAGGCCTTTCCAAAGTCTCAAACAATTAGTCTTCCAAAGAGAAACATGTAAATGACCATCCCACCGATATTTAGCTTTAAGGATGCGAACCAACAAGCTATTGTCATCAACGATCAACTTGTACCCGATTTTCATAAGAAATGCATAATTCTGCTTGGATAAATCATGGATCCCCAATCCTCAACAATTAGTAGGGGCTTTCAACATATCCCAACTCACAAGAGATGGCCCAGATTCTCTATTGCTACTGCCCCATATAAATTGCCTAATCTATCTCTCAATATCAAGACAAATACCTTCTGGAAGCCAAGTGGATTGCATAACATAAATCATAATTGCTTGCAACACAGATTTTGCAAGAATAATCTTCACGGCTAGAGATAGAGTACCAGCTGTCCATCCAGAAAGACGTCTCCTTATCTGCTCAATTAAGTAGGCATAAGTTGCTTTTGTGACTCTACTATGAAGGAGCGAAACACCAAGGTAATTGTCACACCTCAATTTAGAGGCTAAATTTTTAATAAATTTAAGTATAGAATTAAAGTAGTATCAAGGGATAAATTGAGGACTAAATTATAAAATCTCGAAGCTGGCATGCCATTTTAGGAAGTTACAAAAAATTCAAGGATTTAAACTCGAATTTACCCAGTGAAAATTTTAACTCCCCCAAGCGATCTGATTTTTCCCTAAATCAAACTCAATCCCTTAACCCCAAATTATACTTCCCCTATCAACCCATTTACTGGTCAAATCCGTCGCTGTCCGGCCACCCTAGCTCGAGCCACCACCACCAAAATACTCACTGTTGAACAGTGATCAAAACCCAACCCCTATTTCATCGAAAAACAGCATCGTTCGTCGTGGATCAGCCAACAAAAAGCCGTCGAAAAACCTCGTCGCATAGTGAATCTTCAACATTTTCGATCGCGTCCGACGTTGTTTCGCCTCACCGCCGCCTCAACTGCACTCACTGGTGTCGTACGATCAAAACCCGGCCGATTTTGTTCATCATTGACGTGCCGTCGTCGACCACCGTTGGGTAAGTTAACGATTGGTTGATTGGTGATAGTTGGATTGGTTTATTGGTGATATTGGACTAATTTTGGATGAAATTGAGGCCATAATTGAATTGGGAGTAATCGACAGTGCGCGTGGTGGTCTATTGCCTGTCCAGGAAATTTCTGGAACTGGTCCAGGCATAACCGAACTGGGTTTGACCCAACCCGAACCGTTGACCTTGATCGGTCAGACAGTTGACTTTGAATGGTCTGACCGTTGACTTTGACTTTAACCGAAAATGTCAAAAATTTCAAAAAGTCATATTTTATGTTTTTCGACTTCCTGAGCCTGATTTTGAAGTTCATTTTACCAAATTCAAACCCGAAAGCCTCCAAATTGATTGTCAAACCCAAATATGCTTATGAAATTAACTTTTTTAATTTCAGAATAATTAAAGTAAGATTTGAAACTGATTAATTGTTGTTATTTGAAGGTACTCGAGATTTATCTGATCGCTCGCCAGCTCGACCCAGCTCTTCTCGATCCGTTAGACCACGTGAGTCGATAGTTACTCGTATGAACCGTGAACTGTATGAATACACCGATTAGAATATTACTTCGACATTAACTAAGTTTGCTATGATTTAGGTTCGAGCACTAGAGCTGAGTGTGATGAGGCCGATGCCCATTAGTTTTACTATATGCCCTATTTTGCGATGTGTGTTTCCTATGTGCTACCTGATTGTTTTATCTAATTTGGAATATGTTTCACTGAAAATTATGATTTACTGGTTGATGATTTATGAACTATGACTGAATGATGCATGATATTTGAATAATTGTTTTCACTATACAGTATGATTTTTCCGAATATGAATCATGGAAATTACTGCTCATCATGTGAATTGTTTTATTGAAACGTTTTCTTTGGGTAGGCTGGAGAATGGAGGTTCAGCTCTGATCAAGCTGGTAAATTCTTACGGATCTAAGGCGAATCTTGGGTAGGATCTACGGCTCTGAGATATTTCCTGGGTAGGCTCTCAGGCCCCAATATGTTCCCTTAGGTTTACTCCTTATATCCAATGGGTATAAGGTAAGCCTTAAAGATGCAGTTATGGGGGAACTGAACTGCATATGGTGTACAGGAGGAGGGTAAACTACAAGTTTTAAAAACTTATACTCTATCAGGATTTCCATGATATTTTACTGGACTATTACTTGATTGCTTTTCATATTATGTTTTTATTGCACTATTGGGACACATTGAACCCTGACTCATTTTTCAAACTGTTTTACCCCCCTTTCAGATACTTGTGGATATACACGCGAATCATGCACTCGGAGGATCGACACATTATTGAAGAACTTTTTATTGTAATGTTTCTATCTTCCGAATTGCTTTCAATTATGGTGACATGTGCCTTATTTTGAAGTATTTATATTTTTATGATAATTATTGCTTTTGCTATTGATATTCGATTTACCGTGATTTAGATTTAAGACTTGTTTTGTTTTGCGTAATCGGTTTTAGTTTTATATTTACGAGTTAAACTTTTATTGTTATTTATTATACGTTTATGAATGTTATTTGTAAAATGATTTTAAATTATCGAATAACGTTTTTTAAAAGTGTTTTAAGAATTTTTAATGTAATTCGTTAAACTTAGTCGAAATGCATAGATTAGATCTAGCAGTTACATTTTAAGGTACTTGTCTAAATTTGATACAATCTCAAAGCCAAAATCTCGAGCAATTTTCACCCTTAAAATCACATATGAAGTATGCTCTAACTTTTACCCTTAAAGTATTTTTGGTTAATTTTCTACGTATTATTTTTCACTACTTTCTCATTTACCATGTTGGTGCAAAAGCTATATGTTGATTTTTCTTATCTAATAATTTAAACCTCATCCACTAAATCAATTGATAATTGATAAAAAAATAACTTTTTGATAATAATGTTTAGTGCATTAAAAATAAAATATATATATTAAAATCAGTTGCTTGGAATTTTTTCTCATATTTTATGCTTTTTGTTTATTTTATAATTAATTAAAAGAAGTAAGAAAGTAAATTCCAACTTCATTAAAACTTGGATTAGAATTGAACTAACTTGTTTATGCAAAATTGGGTGGGCATTAGATATTATTTTCTGGGCCAGAATAAGCAAACAATACTGGGCTGCACATAAAGTGTTCGATAAATTGCCCTACTGAACTTCGTTTTTTCTTTCTTTTTGATTTCTCTTTTCTGTTTACTCAAAATATTCCGATTCCTTGGAGAGGTAAATAAGAAAAAGTAACCCGCAGTTTTTGTGGGATTTCCATCAACGATTATATAATTTTTTTTTAATTTTGTTGGGTTTTCTATATTGCAGGCAGAGATAGGATTCAAGTTCGTTTGAAAGAGTGGGTGGTAATTCAATGGCGGCAATTAAATCAGGGGCATTGGTTACTTTACCAGAGCTTCAGCCATCTTCTGATTTTTTTAAGGAAGGAGCTTCACTTAGAGTAATAGGAAAGTAAGAACTTTAAACTTTTACCCCCTTTTTTTAATGCATTTTTGTCTAATTTTATTATCTGTTCCAAGTTTCTCTTGGTTGGTAAACTGATACTATCAATTAAGTGGATATAGAGGAATTAGTGTTTGAAGGGAGATATGGATGAATTATTTCGAGAAAAGGGTGAAAAGATTAAGAAGGATTCAGTTCAGTGGAAGAATTTTCGCTGAGAAGGCAATTGATGAAGGTGGTGGTTCAGATAAAACAGGGTTGAATTTATAGCTAAGCTACTCTGAGAATAGTATGTATCTGTCTTGGAATGATTAACTTACAATTTATGATCAATAACAATTCTATACTTGCCATATAGTTTCATGAACAAGCGCGGTTCGGGACCTGGGTTCATTGAAAAATTAGAAATTCAGTAGGGTAAGAGCCTAAGAGGTCTTGTTGCAGCGCCCATGTTCTGTTAGCAGAGGTGGAGACGGTGAAGTATGGTGGCGTTAGAGGCAAAAGAGCACAACACGAATATGTAAGGTAGCTAGAAATTGGTGGCGTTAACGATGCGGTATTTGTTGGTTGGAGATGCCAAATGAGCAAGCTAATGGTGGAAGTGGTGGTTTTTGTTGTATGGCAATAGAAATTGAAATGGTGCTTGATGTTAAAGTTCATGATGAGTTTTGCTTGAAGAATTGATGCAAGGATGTATCTAGCCGTGCACCTTAGATAAGAAAAAAAAAGTTACCTATAAACATGAATTGAACCTGTGTAGAGAATATCTAATAAGATTTTCCAGTATCATGCTGAGTGATATGGCCTATTATTCAGTATAAATACTTTATCGTCAGGTGTTATGGACTGTGATTTCTTAAATAACATTATCATCTTGTTCAGATTTCTTTCTATGTTGTGATCTTTTAGTAGCATGAAAGGTCATAAAACAATGGTTTAATGCCTTACCGGTTATGTACCGATTTTCTTGCTTTGAGTTGCCGGATGATTGCACCATCGGTATATTACTTTTATTCGTTAGTTGGTTGATCTTTATGATGTGATGTTATATCCATATTAAGAAAGGAAGAGATGGAACTGTAACACATTCATCCCTAGGCTGCAAGAGTATTCCGTGGAGACAGCCATAGCTGTTATTGCTGATCAAGGTGCCACCCTAAAGATTGATACGCAGCACTTGAGGGAAATTGGCTTCCGAATCGGCTCGATATTCCAATTCATTGGTGAACTCCATATTCAACCCAACAATGAGGTAAATTTGTATACGATCAGGCTAAATGCCTTTTTCTTTACTCCCTGTCTCCCTATCGAACACTAATATGTTCTGGTTATATGATTTATCACAGGCAGTACTGCAAGCGCGTACTGGTAGGAACATCGATGGTATTGACCTCGATCTCTATTACCAATCTTTGCAGCAATTAAGGAGGTTCCAAGCCGAGCACATGAAAAGTGCAGCTACTTGAATGAAGTTTTAGATTTGAATGGACTTGCTTGTAATTTGAAGGTACTGAAGTAAACTACTACTAAACTTATGATTGCCACAAATAGGAGAATTTCTTTTTCTTTTGGAATTGTTAATGTAATCGAATTGAAAAGTGTTTTCATCAGCCATCCAACAAAGTAGTTCATCTGAATCCTTATTGTAGCTTTCATTACTACCATTTAGTAAAACTCTTAAAGGTGTAGGTATCACATTTGAAGAGATAAGGGACATTAATCATTCATCATAATAGAAAGAGTTAATTGCGTCGTATGTTCCCAAACTATAACCTTTATTTTAAATGGATCCTTAAACTTTTGAATATTCTAATTTCATCCCTAAATTACGACTCTCATTCTAAATTAGTCTTTAAACTTTTGAACATTCTAGATTCATTCCTCAATTTTGACAATCTTTCTAAATTTGTCCTCAAGCTTTTAAATGTTCCAATTTCATTCCCAACTTCATCCAAATATGTATTAACAATTTTATTAACAACTGATGTGATTAGTATATACGTATAGTTTGGGATGTGTTGACGAAAACGGGTAAAGAAAACGAAAGAACACGAGAATTTTACGAGGTTCGGCAATGTGCTTACGTCCTCGGTGCCTAGGCGGCGCTAGAATTTTATTCAATGATATTTTAGGTCTAGGTTACATCTCTATTTATAATAGAAAACCCTGTTACATAATTACAAAATCAACCCTGTACCGTACCGCGGGGCTACGCCCCCGCACCCCCAACCCACATAATTTGTAACCCCACAACGAGACTTTCTTTGTAAGGACAGTTGATGTTCGCTGCGTTCGCTTCGCTCCATCTCCTGTCCTCTTTACTGGTATATTTATGAGCCATACCTAACAAATCTCCACCTTGGCGAATATCCTGCCCCTTGGAAACTTCAATGTGGGTTGGGTTACCTTGCTTCTTTAACAACTCGAAACATTCAACAAGTCCAAGCAATGCTTGGACTTGTCTGTCGTAACTGGCTTGGTGAACATATCAGCGGCATTCTCATCAGTATGTACCTTCTGAAACAAAACCTCTCCAGATGCAACCAACTCTCTGATCTTGTGGAACCTTACATCAATATGTTTAGTTCTAGCACGATACACCTGATTCTTAGCCAAGTGAATAGCACTTTGATTATCACAAAGCAACTGAACTCCACCTTATTGAACACCCAACTCCTTCACTAAACCAGTAAGCCATAAAGCTTCTTTTGCAGCTTCAGCCGCTGCCATGTATTCAGCTTCAGTTGTAGATAGTGCCACGACAGATTGAACAGTAGACTTCCAGCAAATAGGCCCTCCACCAAGAGTAAACACATACCCTGTCGTAGATCTTCTATTATCCAAGTCACCTGCATAATCTGAATCCACATATCCTACAACCAAAGGATTATCCCGCTGACTCCCAAAAACAATTTCATGTCCCACAGTACCCTTTAAGTACCGAAAGATCCACTTGACTGCATCCCAATGTTGCTTACCAGGTTTAGACATGTACTTACAAACTTGACTAACAACATGAGCTAAATAAGGACGAGTACATACCATCGCATACATCAAGCAGCCAACAGCATTAGAATACGGAACCTTTGCCATATTTTCAGCTTCCTTATCTGTCTTAGGGCACTGTTCTGATGAGAGCTTAAAGTGATTCGCCAATGGAGTGCTAACTGGTTTCGCGCTGCTCATCGCAAACCTTTCTAGCATTTTCTCAACATAACCCCGTTGAGATAGCCGCAGTTTCCTTGAGTCTCTGTCCCTGCAAATTTCCATTCCAAGAATTTTCTTTGCAGCACCTAAATCTTTCATATCAAATTCCTGACTCAATAAAGTTTTCAAACCGATAACATCATCCATGTTCTTCGCAACAATCAACATATCATCAACATACAGTAATAGAAAAATAAAAGAACCATCATCAAGGCTCTTAACATAGACACAACAATCATACTCACATCGGTTGTAGCCAATCTTGATCATATAGGAGTCAAACCGTTTATACCACTGTCTCGGAGACTGTTTTAACCCGTACAAAGATTTCTTCAATCTGCAAACTAAATGCTCGTTTCCAGGTTGAGTGAAACCTTCAGGTTGCCGCATGTAGATCTGCTCCTCTAAATCACCATGCAAAAAAGCAGTTTTAACATCCATCTGCTCTAAATGCAAATCCCAACTAGCCACCAATGCAAGTACTGCTCGGATTGAAGTGTGCCTGACCACAGGAGAAAAGATTTCATCATAATCAACTCCTTTCTGCTGTGAAAAACCCTTCGCTACCAAACGAGCCTTGAACTTCTCCCCCTCTTTTTCTGTTACTGCTGGTTTCTTCTTATACACCCATTTGCAACCAATCGGCTTCTTACCCTCAGGAAGGGGAACTAACTCCCATGTGCGATTGTGATTCAAAGACTCCATCTCCTCAACCATGGCTGCCATCCACTTGTCGTTTTCCTGACTAGTAACGGCATCATGAAAAGTAACTGGATCATCACTGCTAACAGTAAGTGCAAAAGATACCAAGTCTTCAAAACCCAATCTGTTCGGAGGCTTTATATTCGTCCGTCTCACCCTGTCTCTGGCGAGACTATAATCCTGCAAATCATCCGTAGTGGAACCACCAGAAGTCGGTTGAGAAGTTTCTGGTTTCTCAACTGGAAACTGCTCGAAATCTACCACTGTCGTGTCTTGCTTCTGCTGCAACATAGACTGTTCATCAAAAACGACATCTCTACTAATCACAACTTTCTTCGCAACTGGATCCCAGAACTTGAATCCTTTGACACCTTTCTTGTAACCCAGAAAAATGCACTCCTTCGATTTTGCATCAAGTTTGGATCTCTCATCAGCAGGTACATGCACATAAGCAGGACAACCAAAAATCCGTAAGTTATCAAAACTAACATCATGACCAGTCCATACCTCTTCTGCAACTTTCCTAGCCAGCGATGCCCTTGGCGATCTGTTGATAAGGTAACACGCCATGTTAACAGCCTCAGCCCAGAAGTGTTTGGGAAGCCCGGCATTCAACCGCAAACATCTGGCTCTTTCATTCAACGACCTGTTCATTCGTTCCGCAACACCATTCTGTTGTGGTGTCTTGCGCACTGTAAAATGCCTCTGAATCCCATGCTCCTTACAGAATTGTAGGAACTGTGAATCTGTGTACTCCGTACCATTGTCAGACCGCAAACACTTGATTTTTCGTCCTGTTTGGTTTTCTACCTCAGCTTTCCACAGCTTGAACTTCTCAAAAACTTCAGATTTCTGTTTCAAAAAATACACCCAAACTTTCCGTGAAAAATCATCAATAAAAGTAACATAGTACCTAGATCCACCCAAAGACGATGTCGTGGAAGACCCCCATACATCAGAATGCACATAATCAAGAATCCCTTGAGTTGTGTGCTTCGCAGTCTTGAAACGGACTTTAGTCTGTTTACCAAGAACACAATACTTGCAAAAATCGAGCTTACAGCTTTTGACACCATGCAACAAGTTTCTCTTGTGTAATTCTGCCATACCACGTTCACTAAGATGAGCAAGGCGCATATGCCACAATTTTGTCGTATCATCACATGACTCAACAGAGTGAACTCCACCTGCAACGGTACTCCCTAACAATCTGTAGATATTCCCTGCAGTCATCTTGCCTTTCATCACAGTCAATGCTCCTTTAACAATCCGAATGGTTTCCCTATCCTCGTCAGCCTTAGGGATAAAACCATTCTTGTGCAAAGTGCCCAAGGAAATCAAATTCTTCTTCAAGTCTGGGATATGTCGAACACCACTCAACGTCCGAACGGAGCCATCGTGCATCTTAATTCTGACATCACCAATACCAACAATATTGCAACATCGATCATCACCCAAATAAACCGAACCAGAATTAACCGGCCTGTATGTCGAAAACCATTCCCTATTTGGCGTGATGTGATAAGAACATCCAGAATCAAGAATCCAAGCATCCGTCAATTGTGTCGTTGAAATAGAAAGTATATCACCCTCACTGCAATCAGAAGTATCATCCTCGACCACGTTCACAGACTTGGATGAGCCATCACGCTTCTCATCAGTCTGCTTTTTCAACTTCGGACAGTTTCGCTTCATATGTCCCGCCTCCTTGCACTTGTAACAGTGAATCGTCTTCTTATCCCTGGATTTGGATCTGGAATTCCGCTTCCCGGACCCTGCCTTCTCTGGCTTCCGTTCACGATCTCGATTACCCTTGACATATAAGCTATCGGCTTGAGAGCTTTCCCCTGCATTCTGCTTCCGCTGGTTGTGAGCCAACAAGGCTGCAGTAATCTCCTCAACATTGATAGTCTCTTTCCCATATGTAAGAGTAGTCACCATGTGTTCGTAAGAGGGAGGCAACGAACACAACAGAATCATCGCTCTGTCTTCATCCTCAATTTTCACATCAAGCCGAGCCAGATCAGAAACGATTTGATTGAAGACATTCACGTGTTGCGCCAAATCGTGATCGTCCTGCATCTTCAGCCCATACAGCCGCTGCTTCAGATACAGTTTTGTCGTTAAGGATTTGGACATAAACTGACTTTCCAACTTCCTCCAAATTTCGTCTGGAGACGATAGATGCATGACGTGATACATGACCTCGTCCGCCAAGCATAATCGTATGGTTCATGCCGCTCGCTGCTGCAATTCTTCCCAATCTTCCTCATCCATCGACGCCGGCTTTGTAGGTCGCAAAGCCTTCAAGATCTCTTGCTGCGCCAATAGATCCTTCACCCTCGTTTGCCATAATCCGAAGTTACCCTGACCATCGAATTTCGTGACTTCGGATTTTGCTCCTGACATCTGATACCAATTGTTGACGAAAACGGGTAAAGAAAACGAAAGAACACGAGAATTTTACGAGGTTCGGCAATGTGCTTACGTCCTCGGTGCCTAGGCGGCGCTAGAATTTTATTCAATGATATTTTAGGTCTAGGTTACATCTCTATTTATAATAGAAAACCCTGGTACATAATTACAAAATCAACCCTGTACCGTACCGCGGGGCTACGCCCCCGCACCCCCAACCCACATAATTTGTAACCCCACAACGAGACTTTCTTTGTAAGGA